GGCAGTAACATTCGAACACTTTTGGCAAAAAAGGGTTTGCCTCACCACACCTGATCCAGCTCATGAGTGGCTTAAAAATTAGCTGATGAGCTGGATCGAGTGTGCTGAGGCAGAAAATGGATGAAATTGTGAAGTGCTGTGGGGCCCAGGAGCAAGATTAAGAGACACTAGTTTAGGACATAACATTCTTTAGTGCGAAAAACTGAGACAAGGTATAATTTTTGTTTGTGAACCCTTTTTTATATTTCCACATACATTTGACGTAAAACCTCATCAGATTTTCACACAAGTCCGAATAATAGATGAGACAAATGAGACAAAAATATTGGACTTGGTCATTTATTTATTAAGGAAAATGATCCAATATTACATATCTGTGAGTAGCAAAAGTATGTGAACCTTTGCTTTCAGTATCTGGTGTGACCCCCTTGTACAGCAATAACCGCAACTAAACGTTTCCAGGAACTGTTGACTAGTCCTGCATATCGGCTTGGTGGAATTTCAGACCGTACCTCTGTACAAAACACAAGCAACTTTATTCTTCTTGAACCATTCTTTGGTAGAACAACTTTTGTGCTTAGGGTCATTGTCTTGCTGCATGACTCACGTTCTCTTGAGTTTCAGCTCATGTACAGATATCCTGACATTTTCCTTTAGAATTTGCTGGTATAATTCAGTTCAATTGAGTTCATTGCTCCATCAATGATGGCAAGGTGTCATGGCCCATGCAGCACCACAGCTCTAAACTATGATGCTACCACCACCATGTTTTACAGACAGGCTAAGGTTTTTATGCTGAAATGTAGTATTTTCCTTTCTCCAAACATAATGCTTTTCATTTAAAACAAAAAGTTTTAAAAAATTTTGGTCTCATCTGTCCACAAAACATTGTTCCAGTAGCCTTCTGGCTTGTCCATGTGATCTTTAGAAAATGGGCATCAATGTTCTTTTTTGGAGAGCAGCGGCTTTCTCCTTGCAACAGTGTTCTCCTGATGGTGGACTCATGAACATTAACATAAGCCACTGTGAGACAGGCCTTTAGTTGCTTAGTTACCCTGGGTTCCTTTGTGACCTTACGGACTATAAGATGCCTTGATCTTGGTGTGATCTTTTTTGGTCGATCACTCCTGGGGAGTGTAACGATGATGTTGAATTTCCTCCGTTTGCACACAATCTGTCTGACTGTGGATTGGTGGAGTCCAAACTCTCTAGAGATGGTTTGGTAACCTTTTCCAGCCTGATGAGCATCAACATCTCTTCTTCTGAGGTCCTCAGAAATCTCTTTTGTTGCTGCCGTGCTACCCTTCCACAAACATGTGTTGTGAAGATCAGACTATGATAGATCCCTGTTCTTTAAATAAAACAGGGTGGTCACTCACACCTGATTGCCATCCTATTGATTGAAAACTAATGACTCTAATTTCCCCTTCAAATTATCTGCTAATCCTAAAGGTTCACACACTTTGCCACTCACAAATAAGTAATATTGGATTATTTTCCTCAATAAATAAAAGAGTCTAATATTTTTGTCTCATTTGTTTAGTTTGGTTCTCTTCAACTACTTTTAGGACTTGTGTGAAAATCTGATGAAGTTTTAGGTCAAATTTATGCAGAGATATAGAAAATTCTAAGGGTTCACAAACTTTCAGTTGTACATCCATCCACCCCAAGGCACAACACAAAATAGTTAAAAAGGTCTGTGCAAGTTATGTCTAGCCACCTCGTCATCATCCCACTCAGCAATTGTCTGTGGATGTGCTTTTCCAAAGTGCTTCCACAAGATTTAAGCTACAAATAACACAATTCGTGAATCAAACGGAAGCATTGCACAAAACGGGAAGTATTACTTCCGCGGTTAAAATAAGGTGGATAGCACATTCGTAAAAAATAAGCTTCCTAAATGGTTCTTGGCTTGTTGCTGAAAAGCCATCATAGAACACTTGCCTTTTGTGCTCGGAAAAGTTTCTTCGCATCCCATTTACAAAATGGTTCCTTAAGAAACCATCCACTGAAAGGTGAACCAAAGGTGGTTCTTTTATGCCATAGAAAACATTTTGACACCTTTAGTGTACCCTATAAACTGCTATGCCTTGTAACAGAAGCAGAACCTCTTTTGTTGCTGCATAGAACCATATGCAAACGGTTCCCTGAGGAACTATGTTCTCAGTCATTTAGATTATGCGTGATGGTAGTAATAGGTCTAATAAAAGAACACAAACGGAACTATTAATTATTGTATTAATAATTGTGAATAATAATTATTATTATTAAAACTGCATAGAGGCGACTATAATTAGAACAGCACATGTACAAAGAACTATTTTTCTGGACTGGAGAACCGTTTCTGGATTTAAATCGTTCTTTGTGTTGTTGTAGTTCTACATATTAGCATGTTCTTCATTAAAGACCCATTTTTTAAGACTGAAGAACCCTTTAAGACTAAAGACCCCTATTTTAGAGTAAAGAACCATTTTTTTTATTACTAAAGACCCCTTTTTTAAGAGTAAGGAACCTTTTTAAAGGCTAAATATCCCTTTTTTAAGAGTAAAGAACACTTTTTTATAACAAAAGACCCCTTTTTTAAGAGTAAAGAACCTTTTTAAAGACTAAATATCCATTTTTTAAGAGTAAAGAACCTTTAAGGCTAAAGCCCCCTTTTTTAAGAGTAAAGAACCTTTTTAAGACTAACGATTCCCCTTTATAGAGTGAGCAACCGTTTTAAGACTAAAGACCCCTTTTTTAAGGGTAATGAATCCATTTTAAGAGTATTTCCATGTTTAAGATGCAGACGTGTGTTCCGTGTTCCAGCTGGGCAGGTTTTCTGGTGACATTTGCAGTGTACTACAGGCACGGTTGGTGGTGCCTTTATTTCATTTGCCTGTTGATGCATTTAAAGGTTACTGTAGAAGTAGGTGTGAAATGTAAAGCAGAACCGGAGTGTAATCTGCTGTGCACTGTATCTGAATGTGCTCAGAGAATCATGTCAGCTAGAAACTGATGTAATTTTCTGCTGTTTGTGACTGAGCACAGCCTCCTGCATTGATCTCAGCACATTCACAGCTCGGAGTGATCCGTCAGTGACTCGGGCAGATCTGTGTTCTGCAGGTTCTCTGTAATGAACGATTTCTTTAGATCAGGAACTGTTTGATCTGTGTGTGGAGTGGAATCTCTGAACTCACTATGATCTGATTCAGTTGTGATTCACTATGGAGTGAATCAAATGATTCAAATGATTCATCTTGAACACTTGAACCTGTGCCTTTTGTGCTTAGAAAAGTTTCTTCACATCTCATTTACAAAACGGTTCCTTAAGGAACCTTCCACTGAGAGGTTCTTGTGGTTCTCAGGAACCAAAGGTAGTAATTCTATGGCATTCGTAGAACACATTTTGGCACCTTTAGTTTTAAGAGTGTACCAAATGAACTGCTATAATTTGTAAGAGAAACTGAACCCCTTTTGTTGCTATGTAGAACCATATGTACAAGGTTCTTTGAAGAACTAGGTTCTTAGTTATTGAGATTATGCATGATGGTAGTAATAGATAAATTAATAAAAAAGATACTGAATCATTAATTATTGTATAAACAATTATGAATAATTATTATTATGAAAACTGTGTAGAGGCGACTTTAATATCATTAGAACAGCTCATGTGCAAAGAACTGTTTTTCTGGACTGGAGAACCGTTTCTGGATTTACTCACAATGTTTTGATTCAATTACAGTTCATTAGGGAGTGAATCAAAGAATTCATCTTGAGTGCTCAGCTTTCACCATAATTTTTTTTTTTCATTTGTAAAAATACACCTATTAACACAGTAGTGGATTTTATGAATTTTATGAACAGGAAAATTCGGTCAAGAAGCTGGCGAATAGGCTGGGGTGCCAAAATGTTACTGCTGCACTATTTAAGGTGGAACAGGAAAATTAGAACAAGAAGCTGGCAAATAGGCTAAGAACGTAACTGCTGCACCATTTAAGGTGGAATAGGAAAATTAAAACAAGAAGCTGGCTAGTAGGCTGAGGAGCCAGAATGTAACGGCTGCACTATTTAAGGTGGAATGGGAAAATTAGAATAAGGTGCTGGTGAAAAAGAAGGTGATTTCAGCTTCATTTAAGGCAGCAAATATATTTTCAGAGCAGTGGGCTTTTGTTTTTGCGATAACAGGCTTAGCTTTGGCTACCATACCTAGCCAGCCATGCATCTAGCTAACACTGACAGAGTTATAAAAAATCCACATGAGCTGGTTTATAATTAAACTATAAAAACATTGCAAATGTGTACATTAGCTGATCAACTTATCATCATCACTTGCCATTATCAAAGTCTGTTGTTGCACTCGCCTTGTGCTCGTTCGTGTATGTTTGGTGTCCTCAACCTGGCAACCTGTGTGAGCTTTTAGTCTGGGACGGGTGGGGGCAGACAACTCTCTCCAAAGTTTTGCATTTGGAATGCAGTAGCCATTTTAAACGCTTGCTGTCAGTATTACATATTATTCCTTTGAGGTTTGGTTGGGGGAAAAAAGGGTTAAATTATTGAAACACTCAACAGAAAATTGTCCAATCAGGATTGTTTTGACTTTGGTATGTAGGTAGATACTGTTGAGCTGCTCTCTCATTGGTTAGGACTTCAGGAACTGGAACCAAAAATGTCACTCAGGTCCCTCTGGAGGTTCTAGACATGTCACTGTGAAAGTTTTTGATGTCCGTGTTTGATCTAGTGGTTAAACGTATCATTGGAAATCCCTTAAGGGCGCTAATAGAAACATCTTTTATGGCCTGAGCTGAAGGCCTAGCTCTAATAGCTAAACCTCCCCACTGATCTATGTGTATGTATCATTACTGTAATTATGTTGACTGAGAATTTTATTTTGCTCTTTTGCCCCAAATAATGAACACACAGCTTATTATGAATGATTCTTATGTTCTAAAATTAGTGCGGTTGAATGGTCTCCTTCAGATTAATCCATTGGTATATTTTTATCCTCTTTCTTTGTGCAGATATAGACGAGTGTTCCACTCAGATGCATTACTGCCAGGCCAACACTGTGTGCGTGAACCTGCCGGGTGGACATCGCTGTGACTGCCTGCCCGGGTTCACCAGAGTGGACGACTTCTCCTGCACAGGTACAACACACACACACGCATATATGTATATATACACTTATTAAGACTCGCTGGTGTACACAGCAGACATCAAAATCTTCATTAGTATCATTTTCTGTCTTGGTGCCTACATATAGGCGTCTGCAAAAGTTGGAAATCAAATTACATGTTTCGTTACACATCATCTAGAGGGAACAAACTTAATCCTCCTGTTATCCTGAATTTAACAAACATCTTTTTTCTCTGGGGCCATTTTGTTATCATGGGAATTATGTTTTCCCCTTAAAGAATTCTTCAAACCCACTTCGATTTAGGGGGCCAGCCTATACATAGTACAACACACAATACAGAATATAGTAGCATATATAACACAGCAGAGCAGATCACTCCCTCACCGTACCCTGTGTCACTATCAGTGGTTCTCGCACTAACGCAGGTGTGGTTATGTTAGGTTATGTGTGTTATAGGTGTGGTTATGTTAGGTTAGGTGTGTTACAGGTGTGGTTAGGTTAGGTATGTTACAAATGTGGTTATGTTAGGTTAGGTATGTTACAGGTGTGGTTATGTTAGGTTAGGTGTGACATGTGTGGTTATGTTAGGTATGTTAAAGGTGTGGTTATGTTAGGTTAGGTATGTTACAGGTGTGATTATGTTAGGGTAGGTGTGTTACAGGTGTGATTGTTATGTTAGGTATGTTACAAGTGTGGTTATGTTAGGTATGTTACAGGTGTGGTTATGTTAGGGTTAGGTGTGTTACAGATGTGGTTATGTTAGGTTAGGTGTGACATGTGTGGTTATGTTAGGTTAGGCATGTTACAGGTGTGGTTATGTTAGGGTAGGTGTGTTACAGGAGTGGTTGTTATGTTAGGTATGTTACAAGTGTGGTTATGTTATGTTAGGTATGTTACAGGTGTGGTTATGTTAGGTTAGGTGTGTTACAAGTGTGGTTATGTTAGGTCAGCTATGTTACAGGAATGGTTATGTTAGGTTAGGTATGTTACAGGTGTGGTTATGTTATGTTAAGTGTGTTACAGGAGTGGTTGTTATGTTAGGTATGTTACAAGTGTGGTTATGTTATGTTAGGTATGTTACAGGTGTGGTTATGTTAGGTTAGGTGTGTTACAAGTGTGGTTATGTTAGGTCAGCTATGTTACAGGAATGGTTATGTTAGGTTAGGTATGTTACAGGTGTGATTATGTTAGGTTAGATGTGTTACAGGTGTGGTTATGTTAGGTTAAGTATGTTACAGGTGTGGTTAGGTTAGGTATGTTACAGATGTCATTATGTTAGGTTAGGTATGTTACAGGTGTGGTTATGTTAGGTTAGGTGTGACGTGTGGTTATGTTAGGTATGTTACAAGTGTGGTTATGTTAGGTTAAGTATGTTACAGGTGTGGTTAGGTTAAGTATGTTACAGATGTCATTATGTTAGGTTAGGTATGTTACAGGTGTGGTTATGTTATGTTAGGTGTGTTACAGGAGTGGTTGTATGTTAGGTATGTTGCAAGTGTTGTTATGTTAGGTTAGGTGTGTTACAGGTGTGGTTATGTTAGGTTAGGTGTGTTACAGGTGTGGTTATGTTAGGTTAAGTATGTTACAGGTGTGGTTATGTTAGGTATGTTACAGGTGTGGTTATGTTAGGTTAGGTATGTTACACGTGTGGTTATGTTAGGTTAGGTATGTTAAAGGTGTGGTTATGTTAGATTAGGTGTGTTACAGGTGTGGTTATGTGAGAAAAACATCTTGAAGATTATACAATTGCATGTTATAGTGACCTCAGTATCATCCAAAACATCCAAAACAAATGTGTGTAAAGTGCTGATATAAGTCATAAAACATGAAGCAAAAAAATGAAGTCAATTATTTATTTAGAGACATTAAATATTCACTGGGGTCAGATTGATCTCAAAAATAATAGGAATGTTAAATATGCCATTTTTCAACATACAGAAATACACAAACACAAATATTACATAACTTTGCACAGGCCACATTTTGTGTTTCATGTTTTTCCCAATATGTTTCCAGTATGTTAAATTCAGTAAATAAACAGTAATTGTACCTTAAAATGTGTTGGCACTGTGTTCTGTGTGGAGGATGTGTTTATTTAATTACATTTATTTTCAAAGAAGCATGGACATTGCATTTTGTTTGAAAAGTTACCCTTTGCATTGTGTGAACATTTCATGATAAATCGATCAGTAAAAACAGTTCAAAATTCCATTAACTTCCATTACAAGTTAATAATGATTTTTCCATCTCCTGTAAAATTATCATTTTGTAGATAAAAGGTTTTTGTCTGACGGCAACGATAAGCTGTCTTGCTCAGTTATATTCCTTTGCCTACTTATGGTAGCACAATGATAAATTTGTACTATTTTCGCTTTATTTCTTTTTTATAGATAATAGATCATTTTGCTTAACTATTCTGTGAAGCTTATGTTTCATATGCTTAAACAAAGATTCTGACAATTAAACTGTGTAACTGTGCCTCAGGTGTAGGTCAGATTTTGTCGCTTTATAGCCACATTTATTCATAAATACGCAGTTTTAATCGCTCGTGTACGTTGGGATGAATCTACCGAGCCTCATTAGTGCTGTGTGTAAAACCCGTTAGAAACAGCCTCTTCCATCAAAACCTTTTCTTCTCAGCGTTTATGCTTACAAATGTGTAATTAAGAGAAAGAGCACTGATTATAATGATCACTGTGAAATCAGGAACTCATTCACTTACGCTGATTGCTTAGCTTGTGTTTTTCCTGTAGTCACCTATTCAGTGTAACTCAGTGTAATTCACTGTAATTCCTGATTGACAAATTTGTGTTTTTCATCAACAGGCTAATATTTGGTGCAAATAGTTAAATAATTTCATTAAAGTGAGTGCAAACAGCACATTTTAACCAAAACAGATATTTTAATGCATTTAGTGGCATCTTTATTACATGCACCTGCTTTGAATCTACACTCTTTGTCCATTTTATCAGCTCTACTTGTCATATACAGTCATATGCAAAAGTCAGACAATTAAAAAAAAAACTCACAATTAATCATGTGACTTTGTGTACCATCTACAGCACATTCTTAAGAACACCTTCTTGATGCAAAAATCCTTTCATGCAAATGGTTCTTTGAGTGTTCATCGTTCTATATAGATCTGTTTTCTTTACTAAAGAGTCCCTACAAAAACAACTTTGAGTGTAGCCATAGAAGAACGCTTTCTCAAAGAGGTTCTACATAGAACCATCTACATCACATTCTCCATCAATCTGAAGAACAATTTCACCATGCAAAGGACCCTTTTAAGCATGCAAAGGGTTCTTTCAGTGTTCATGGTTCTATATAGAACCATTTTCTTTACTAAAGAACCCTTAAAGACACAGCTTTTTTTAAGAGTGTACTGTTAATTTGCTTGTTTGAGGCGTCCATTCTTTTCTGCTAAACACTGTTGACTGCGGTTTGTCGTATATTAGCAGCACTAACGCTGTTGGTGTCAGATGTGTGCTTGGCTTGTGTGTGGTGTCGTACGCTGGATGAACTCCAGTAAAAACTAAACTCAGCCTGACAGGAACTACACACAGCCTGAGTTTTGTCAAACAAGCCATCTGGCAAAGTTTTACAATGGAACTTCACGTTCAAGATGCTGTTCTTCATTATTCACTGATTGAAGGAGTATAAAGTGATTCTAATACAATCTGATGCACTTAAAGGCGATTGAGTGGCGCACATTCAATCTGCAGTTTGAACTACGAGTGATTCATAGAGTCAGAAAGGACCTGCGGTAATGGCACTCTTTTTTTTTTTTTCTTTTGTACTGCACTGAAGTGAGATAATGCTTTATTATCGAGTTAAGGGCAGCCCTAATTTTTATGCTTTATTTTTGTCCTGTATGTTAAAGCAAATAAGTAGAAACTGAGCAAAAAATTGGAGAAAAATGCCAAATTTAGAAAATAAACAAAATGTGTAATTTGATGGGTGCTTTCTTTGTATATTTTGTGTTCCTGGTTCTTCAGAGGACAGGACCCCCACAGAGCAGCTATTATTTCAGTGGTTTGTCATTCCACTCTGTTAGACACTCCTACCTTGTTGGTTCACCTTGTAGATGTAAAGTCAGAGACGATAGCTCATCTGCTGCTGCACAGTTTGTGCTGGTCATCCTCTAGTCCTTCAATGGTCACAGGATGCTGCTGGCTGGATGTTTTTGGTTGGTGGACTAATCTCATTCAGCTGAGTGGTGAGATGATTCTAGACCCTGTTTAGGGGGCTTCAGTCCCCCTATTTATCTCAACCACCTTGAAAATGTCATTCTTTCCCAAATAAATTTAAATAAATTATATATATATATATATATATATATATATATATATATTTTCTCAGTTAGAAATTACAATAACCATCATATATCTTAGTGGTAAAAAAAAATTGCCCCCTTCTTTGAAGACATATGATTCCCTAAATGTAACTAAAGCCCAGCATTGAGGTTGCTGAATTTTACCCTCCTCCTCTATCACTGCAGACTGACAGGGTCGCCTACAGAGCACCGCTAGCAGCTGTTAATGAAGTAATTCTCTTTTTTATTTGAGGGTCCCATTTCATTGGGAAGAATTCAACCACTACAACTTGTAACTCAGTTCTAAGGGGCAAGGAGACACTCGAAAACAAGGAGTAAGGGTTAAAATAAGAAATGGGATTGAAATAAAACTAACTTTAATCATAGAGTCCATAACACAAAAGGAAAGTACTTTTTTGGTGGAAGGAATTGACAATATTAAAGCACATTTGATACAATGTTTGGCGCTTCTTTGCTTTACTTTTTTCTTTATTATGCATATTGTGCATGCTGTATAAAAGCAGTAGAACAGTGGAGGTTGTGTTTTATAGTGAATAACATCACCATAAGCTCAAACTTGCGACCAAATCACACCCATGATGTTTTTCACTCCCTCTTGTGTTCTGTGGCTTAAATCAATATATCCCAGAATATAAATAGAATAAATATTTTAACATATTTGTAACATTTTCCTT